TGTAAGAATCCCTGATGAATGTCGAGTAAACAAATTGTGTGATAAAGCTGAAAAAGGTACCGTGATAGGATATGCTGATTATGGATATTTTATTCGTCTAAACAATTCTAATAAAGTCATAGTGTCACGAAATGTAATTTTTATAGAAGAGGACAGTAAGTTAATTAAAGATAGTATGTGCGATAATTTACTAGGAAATACAACAGGTAAACAAGAATATTCACGCTTTGAAATTCACAGTGGAAATGATACGCAAATCCTAAATCAAAATGACCCAAATGAAAACTTTCAAACTCCCGAAAATAATTATCAGCCCCCGCCTATTGAACCGCCAAATTTGAGAAACAGAAGTACAATACAAGCTCCGAGGCGATTGATAGATGACCCCATTTTTGCTAACACATGTGATACAATTCTTCCAAAAACATATGAGGAAGCCATGGCAAGTGAAAACAAACTTTCATGGAAAGTTGCAATAGAAGAAGAGCTAAAAAGCTTAGTAGAGAACGAAACATGGAATATTGTTAAGAAGCCAACTAACAAACAAATAATAGATACAAAATGGTTATTCCGTATCAAAACTAATGGGAAATTCAAAGCGCGTCTAGTTGCTCGAGGCTTTCAACAAGATTTTATAGAATCGGAGGAAATCTATTCACCCGTTGCAAGAATTTGCACTGTTAAAATTCTCATCGCTTTAGCAGCTTAACACGGATGGCATCTCCACCAAATGGACTTCCAAACCGCTTTTCTTAATGCCGATATTAAGTCGGAAGTTTACATACATCCCCCGAAAGGTCTCAGCATAGGCAACAACGTGCTAAAACTCAACAAATCTTTGTACGGACTTCGAGAAAGCTCACGTGATTGGTTCGATTTTTTTCACAATTTTGTTATCCAAAATAAATTTACCCAATCCGCATATGACTGTTGCTTGTATTACAAGAAAATAAATGGTGTTTATATTTACATATTGATTCATGTCGACGATATGCTGTTAGGATGTTCTCAGTTATCTGTAATTATTAATCTCAAGAACCAACTTTGTAAAATCTTTAAAATGACTGATTTAAATGAAGTCGAAAAATATCTAGGTTTCAATATTTCACATAATAGGAACCAAAATGTAATTACCATTGATCAGACTGATTTTATTGAAGCTGCAGCATTAAAATTTAACATTCTCCCAACAGAAACGTTCAACACTCCAATGGAGGATAAACTGAGATTATTACCTGCTGATAAAGCTAATCCGTCAATTAAGTATAGAAATTTAATCGGAACATTACTGTATATATCAACGGGTACACGCCCAGATGTTTCTTTTGCTGTCAACTACTTATCACGTTTCCAGAATTGTTGCTCAGAAACGCATTACAATTACGCCTTACGTGTTCTTAAATACTTGTATTCGACAAAAGACCTCAAATTAACTTTCTCTCACAATCCTAAAGGAATACAATTAGATGCTTTTTCAGATTCTGATCATGGATCCGATCCTATCGATCGTAAATCAACTTCAGGCATTCTAATTCGTTTAAACCATATACCAATCGTGTGGAAATCCCAAAAACAACAGGTCGTATCTAAAGCATCGACACATGCCGAGTACTATGCACTATCAGAAACAGTAACTGAACTTCTTCCAATTATAGGCATACTGAAAGATTTTCAAATTATTTTTAAACGACCCATTCCAATCTTTGAAGATAACAAAGGAGCCTATGACTTAGCTCGAAATGGAAGGTTCCATAAAAACTCTAAGCATATAGAAATAAGATATCATTTTGTTTATGACTATGTTAAGAAAAATATTATAAAAATTATCAAAATAAGTAAGGATGACCAACTTGCAGACATATTGACCAAACCGTTAGGCAAACATCTGTTCGAAATTTTCAGAAATCGCCTTTCTCTCAAATAACTGTTATATTATTGTTTGTTCTCCATTCCCAAATCAGGGAGGCATGATTGCAAGCGTGTTCTCTTGATTTGTGAACAGGAATTTTTCTATTCAAACAATTGTGGTTGCAAACACAATTATTTTTAAAGAAAACAAAGAAATAAAAAGAAAAATGAATAATGTTATTTGGTCAATCATTCATAATAAAAACGATAATTAAATTCCTTCTGAAATTTTATGTTCTAATGTATATTCAATGCTGAATTCGAAAAACAAATGTATAAAGCGAATAAGAAAAATATATAAATTTTGTTTTGATCGTCGATTAATGTCATGACATTACTCGCTAAACTCTATTATTGTTTAGAAAATTGTAACCAATGAAATCCAAAGGCTAATAATTAATTTTTCTTTAGTACTATGTCTAAGAAGACAATTTTTTCGTTAAATAGCAATTATACTGATAATTAACATGTTTCTTTTGAATATTGATTTTAATTTAGTATCTCTAGAAAAACGATACTAAATTAGGGAGGCATGTTGGAATGAATGCTAATTCATACTTCCCGCACTCAATACAAATCGGTGTTGTACACCGGTGACTCGAGTAGTCACCACAACCTCTCTGTACTATGCCTATTATTACTTGTTGATTACTTGTTCATCATCATGTCCTCTGCAATAACGAATAAACTTCATCCGTGTGAATAAACGAATCTTTTCCTTCCAATGAAACCATACCAACTTCCAACAAAACCAACTCCTAACGAAGATATTAACGTTTTCATTTCACATATTGGTTACGGGGAATTTGAACTGCTCAAAGCTCTACGACAATCAAATCGAGCACTACAACGCTTTCAGCAAGCTTCTCAATCGAGCAATAAGTATTCATTTCCCATCATGTGTTGTTCAAACTGTGAACAATTTGCTATAGCTGATCCATAGTGTCAAGATTTTTATATTGCAGAAACTATCGTGATAACGTTTAGCGTGTGATGTGAATCACGCGGAGCATTGCGAGCTTTCATGAGCGGGTAGTTTGAATTTACATCTCAAGAATCATATTTCGGTAATTTTCGGTGTGCGCATCATGGTTTACGTGAAATTTTGGTTAAGAAACTCGTCTAGTGGTCCATTAGGGTAAATATTCGCAATCATCAACTGACTAGATTTTTCCATTTGATGTTACGGTGAAAAATCGAAATAATTGCCCATCGATGTATTCCTATTAAAAAACTATGGCAATGAATCGAAATAATTGATTATTGATGTATTCCTATTTAAAACTAGAGTACCTTTATAGCGAGAGTATGGACAGATCGCTTCATGGAGGGTTTTGGACCCAAAAGTGCAGCCGCACCCTTCTAACCAACTTCTAACGCCTAAAATTTCACTGCCAGTCTGTAGATTCCAATTCTAACCAATATGGCTCAGAATGCACATAAATGAGCGTTCTTCCGCAAAAAATGAGTAAATTTATGCAAAAACTAAGTCAAATACGTGCTTGATAAACGATGGTTCGTAACAATTGTATTATAATTATAATTATAATTATAGTAAATTGTTCTGTGTAATTGAAATTCATAGGTTGGTTGTATTTCTGGCCCTGACTTTATTCGCGGAGGCATCGGTGAAGGCCTGATGGATTCTCGGAGTTTAACATCTATCTATACTCTCACGATATAGGTACTATATTTAAAACTATGGTAAAATAATCGAGTGTGAAGTAATTTGGACCTGAATATCGATCTTTTACCCTACCTTAAATGTTAGATCGAACGGTCCATCGCGGGTTACGACACGTCCCTGAAAGCAATACGGTGGACTCCAATAAGATAATTATTGATTGATTGATTTTGGGCTTCCCAACTGTTTTAGAGGCTTCCTAGTGCTCTCATTGAATTTATAATCGAGATGTAGCGGATTGTTCTCGTCAAAAATCGTCTAGGACGCACCGTTTTCGACATATTAAGGAAATACCATCGATTATTGATATGTTACGTTTCTATCTGTGGTATAGTATCGAAATCATCAACCATGGACATTCTCATATGAAGTTGTGGTAAATAATCGAAGTCATCGAGTATACCGCTTACTCCATACAACTGAATAAGATTCATAAGATTATCCTGCGATCCACGAACCAACAGTTATGTCACGTTGCATATTGATAATCTCGTGACGCATCCATCGAGGACCGCAGCACGGAAACGGAGTTAAAGCACTTCGTTGCTCCCTCACGACGGCTGGGTAAGAACCCGCAATGAAATTTTAAGTTTTTCTGACACCCTTGATCCATACAAGTGAATTAGAGTCCTCAGATTATTCTGCGACCCATGAACCAACGGATATTTCACGTTGAACATTGATTTCGGGACGTATAGAGTGAGGACCCGTAGGCTTGTGCTGAAGTTTCCTAAACATACCGTTCGCGAGGGGGGCTGCCCGCAATGAAATTTTAAGTTTTTCTGACACCCTTGATCCATACAAGTGGTATCACAGCAATGCCCCGCAGTTTATTGCCCCGTGAAACTCAGCCTGTTGCTGTTGCGCGGGGCAATGCAACTAAAAAATTAGTGCGGGGTAATGAAACCAAATTTTTGCAATCCCCCGCAGGAATGAAATAAAATTGTTTCACAGCCCCGCACCAAAAAATTTAGAGTTTCATTCCCCCCCAAATTAAATTGCTGATTTTTCATAAAGTTAGATTCTTTCAAAGTCATCATAAAATTCTGAACGACATTTTCCATTCCTCGGAGTTTCTACTCAACAGCCTGGTCTATTTCTTCTAAAAACTTCATGCAAGAAAAAAGCAGTTTGCAGCAACTCACCATTCACTGTGTCTAGTTCTCCTGAAGAGGTAAGATATTTCAATTCCAATCGTCCTATATTTTAAAAACACTTACAGAATCGCACTTCACAGAATTCCCAACACTTCCAATTTCTTCCCTTTCAATTCATAGGAAAGTTAATAAGCTCATTCAAAGTTATTACTGGTCTTTGTACTTTTGGAAGAAAGTAATAATAATAAAAAAAATCCTACATGCTAAATTTCTTTGAAACAAATGCCTTCCAGGAGATTGCACTTTTATGATTTTCTGTCAATCTTCCAATAAATTTTAAGGTAGATTTTCAAGAACTTGATGATGTGATTTTGCTGCTAAATCTCTGTTAATAACTGATCTAGTGCGGAAAAATCAGTTGAATCACAGAGTGCTAGTAGCTTTCATTTTTCCGTGAGGATCCCAGCAAACCAAGCACTTCGTAAAGAAGTTCTAGAAAAAAAGAATAAAAAACAGGCATTAGTGATTATTTCCTCATTGAACAAATAATTTTAAGAAATTGCAAAATAGCTTCCATCGTTTGAAATGTTTACACCTTGTAATGTTGGATACAGAATGAAGTGAGTGACCAATAAAAATTACATCCATAACATTGAGAACTACAGATAGAGGGCATACATGAGGCAAAAATAAGTGACTGCTGGATTTTTAAGTCATGCTAAATAAAGAATAAATTTGTTGTTAAGTATGATAGGTAAATTTCTGTATTTGAATTTTTTCTTGCGTTTCTATTTTTAATATTCAATTCATTTTCTTAAATGAAAGTCCCGTCACAGAGATTTCCTACTTAAAATAATTGAAACCTAATGTTTGACAATTGACTGATAAGTACCACTGGTAAGCATAGTGAAAATTGAGAGCCCAACCTCAGCTTCTAGGAGCAATCCCTTCAGCTTTTTATGATCTTATCTGTGACTTAGTCAATATTTAAACCATGTAATTTATTGTCAGGAAAATCTCATTGTAGCTACTACAATTGGATTCATGTAAACCTACATTTACTCGATCATACTCGAAGTATTTTGACAGTGTGAGTCGGCAATCACATAACTCGGTTTGCGACATCGCAGACTTCCTGTCATACTTTATTTTTTAAAAAGAACACTGGTCAAAGGCAATTCTTTAAAACTGCCGAGGTTTTTCTTCTCAGTGAGAAGAAAATTCAGCATAAACTTCAAGGAATGATGTCCATTTGTTCTCCTTTCAAAAAATATCATAGAGCCGGAAATTTCCAGACACCGCAAACAAGATATGTGATTGCGGACTTACACCGTCGATTTGCGCTACTGAGCATTTTCAAGAACTTAATGAGAGATTCATTGATTGGAGGAGGGGTAGGGCATGAGCGTGGCAGTAGAGGTGATAGAGTTAGGGAGTGAGGGTTCAGGAAATTCACTCCAGATAATCTATAATTGAACCCAAAATTCGCAGATGGGCATTTTCCACACAATATTCATAATCATTTGAGGCTGAACGTTTGACAAAATTGGTAAAATCACCAGGCTATGGTGCGATGTGCCACAGATCTGTGCATCACGCTCAAGATCACCATAGTAATCTGGAAAATGCACTACAGTGTGTGCACCATGCACCAGGTATGATCACAAATTTCAAGTCTCTTTCATCTAGGTGAAATCTGCCACAGGCTGGTTAAAGTACTACTTTATGTTTACTGCCAACTGATTTTTAACTGTTATAAAAATAACTACCATCTAAACTTAAAAATCAATGTATGGACAACTTTAGGTTGGACTCTTAAGCAGGTTGTACCAGCCATTACGCAGTTTCAAGCTTGCAAAAAAGCGTTTGAGCATGTGTTGGTGCAGCCACAGGCATTCTTTTTGGATTTCTGTTGAGGACTATTGTGGCATCAAGATGTATGCCACATTGCACCATAGCCTGTACAATTCCAGGGCTTGCAATAAGTTACAGAATCAGAACACTGTATCATCTAGTGGGGATCATGGTGTTTGCACTGCGCATAGGTACTTCGACTACTGCCAGAGGGAGTATCTACTTACAATGTGCAAAACATCAGATTACTATTATTATGTTCATGTTGAACTTGAGATACTTGATTAAAAGGAATACTTGCTTACCATCAGAAACTGCATGAAATGCCCGTCTTTTCAGAAGAATTTCGAATTGTCGTTGCGAAACTAGTTGCAGTTTCTAAGTGCACTTATCGATTCTTTCATAAGAATGAAGAGGCTTAGATTTCCTTCAAAGTGGGTATAAAATAAGGACCATAAACGAGGAAGAGTTGAAAAATTGATTTTAAATTATCACAACAAAAAAGTAATGCCCAGATAATTATAAACACTGAGTTTCGGGCCAGCCAGCATGAAGTTAGTATGCTACGAGTAACGCAGAGAGTTTTAGGTTATGTTGATGTTTTCTCGTTTCACTGTTGCCATATGGTAATTCCTTTAAAAGCTCTTTGAGAGGTATTAAGTCAACTTTAGACATAACTAATGTAAATTTAACTTTATTACTAACATGTCTCACTGTAATCGCAGTAAGTACATGCCATTTGTGTTGAAATTACAAAATCTATCTGTAGCCCATTACCTCCAATTTGGCTCCACTGTTATTTTTGCTTTCCCAACCTTCCAAATCAGATGTGCACCATACGATTTGCCGAGCTCATCAGCTCATCACTTAATTCTAC